TGATTCTGAAATTGTATATATATATAAATGTGTGTGTATATGTCCGCATCGGTAGCCTGTTATTGTCTCATTATGCCGCACTGAGAATGAATTAAACGTAAATATATAAGTCGTCATGAACACAGTTCTGCCCAACAGACAGAGTGCTGTGCCTCCTGTCATCATTAACGGACGTCACTTTAAAATGACTGCTCAGAGGAGAGGAGTTCTCATTTCTCTAACCGCCTGCTGCTTCCCCTCCTCTCTCCTCGGTTCCTTTCCTCGACTCCTCCGCTCGCATCTCCTGTGGGCGGGACTAAGACAAGAGGATAGGAGTCGAGCAGGGGAATTAGAGAAATGAGAAACCTTCTCTTTGTTTAGTTTGGCTGGGGAGCTAGTTCCTCTTTCCTTCAGAATGTGATATGAATGTCCCTAGATAGATTGCGAGAGCTCGAACTGTTACTCCCTGCTAGTTTGCGATTAGGGATCCCAAAAACGCACACAAACATCCTCTTCCCACCCCACCACGAGGGCCAACACAACAACTCCCTTTTACCTTGATAAAAATCGAGCCTTCCTCTGAACCCGCATGTACAAGGCCTGAGAACAAATGCAATTCTCACGGCGTTCAAATTCAATTTGCCATAGTGGTCGACTTTGTTGTGATGAAATTCCACTGTGAAATAAACACAGATGGGGAGATTATGATCTACTCAGAAATAAATGACTTCTGTCCCAGGAAATTGAATTCCAAATATGGCGTATTTCATGCTGCATGCCACTGTGATGCAATTTAGATAAGTTCTCCGGGGGGTGACTGTTGATATTTAAACATTCAGGTAATGAGCCTTATAAATTAATCTGTGTGACAAATAATAGAAAGACATCTACAATCCAAGACAAAACATTTTACCTTTCTAAACGGTAATTACCAAAACAATTTCCATACTGTACACACTGGAATGTCCAGATGCCATGGGAATTGTAAGTGCTCTGCATGTGTGTGTGTGCAAGAGAGGAGGGCTATGTCGGAACAGGAAAAGCACTGATGCACAAAAACAAACAAACAAGGGCCAAGCATCGGTAATGAAGTCCTCATTAGTCCTTGTTATGCACAGGAGCGCAGCGGAGCGCAGCGGAGCGGCAGACAGCGCTGCCATTTCGGACTGACCAGGGCCAGAGCCAGGAGCGGGCATAGACCCCTGCTCCCTGGCTGCAGGAGTGGGCGTTTACCCCAGAAACCCTCTGTGTTTCCACCTCAGTTGGCAGGTACAGGGTGATGAGTGTTCTGGATCAATTTTGTAGAGCGGGAAGAGGAGGAGGAGTGCCTTTTGGCCAATGGCTACAGGCCTGGTATACAGAGTTTGGCTCTTGGGTGTGCAGCAAATGTGCGTTATCAAAGAGTTGCGTGAGGCATGCGGCGTGGCCTTTCATGTTGTTTCAGGGAATCACGACAGGTGGCTGGACCAAAGACAGAAAAAATGCTCACACGCAATATGGAGTTTGTATAGAAAGACAGAAACAGTTGGAGATAGTGATGTGAGAAATGAAAACAACGGTTAAACATAAACCAAAAGATATCAGATAGGAAGATTAGCGCACAGCACCAGATGGAGGTAATCCAGAAAAGGACACAACAAACACTGGAGGCCAAAAAGAGATTAGGTGAGGCAGAAAGTGATGGCCGCTGAAAGGAGTCAAGTAGGAGACGGAACAAAGGCTGATTGGTTCTTTTATTTCCCACTCCCCTCAGGCACGCCAAGTCTCATTTACCAGCTCTGTAACTGCATACACCTGACCCAACACATCAGGATAACGTCCAATGGGCAAGTTGCACGCACACACATGCTGCACACACATGGCCCTACTACACCCATGCTTTGCTCATAGCTGGCTACATTTTAGAGGGAAAAACTCAACTCTTTGGCACGTTTAACTAGAGGCCTATGGGCAACACTAAAATCCTGATTAACTTTTAAGTGTAGGTTATGCTAAATGTTCTCATATTAGTTCAAATACATTGACATGATGCATAGAAGGGAGACACATTTGAGATATTCGCAAAAGGACAATACAAATCCAGGCGACGCATTGATTTGACAATCCAATGAAAAACAAGCAGTTCGATCAACTCTGATTATCTCCAAAGCAACAGGACACTCCCTTTCAGCACATAAAAACCGACTGGGGATTCAAACAAATCGATCTTTGGGGCCTCACCCACGGAGCCACCTTGTACAGGGTAAGTTCTTGGCACCTGTTGCATTTGAACAACAGAGCCTCAGTACCTGGGAAACCAGATAACAACGGCGGTTAAAAGCCCTCAGTCGCTCTGGCTGTGTCAACAATGGCCCCCCCCTTTTTGCTGCCTGGGCACACACTTGTACGCACATGCTCAGACGCACCCACACACACATGTAAGCATGAAAAACCATGCACTTATTCATGCACGAAGCATACTCGGAGACCATGCGTAGATGGTGTTTTATTCGGTTGAGTGGAAATGCATCCGTCAAACACAATATGGAACTTCTTTCATCTTGCATGGCAACCACATGATAATTATGCAAATCGTGAATCCAGGCTGGAGACCCAGAGTTAAAGGAACACACCCTCTAAATAATAATTACTTTGGATTTGTGAAGCAAACTGTCTTAAGGCGTTGTGCACACGGGAACGTTTGCGTTTATGCACAGTATGCGTATTCAAAAAAGTCTTCCGTTCACATGCATTCGTTTCATTTAACGTGTCTGTTCAAACGAGACCGCTGGAAACGCTGTAGTACATATGCCGGGACTGTAAGTGGCGCTGTAACTTCCGCCACAAAATACACCAAAAGCAGCGAAGAAGACTCCGCAGCAGCCCCGCAGCAATGTTGCCATGGCTACCCTTCTGTTTATGCCCCGCGGTGGATTTAGCAACATGTAGTTCATGTAATTCTCCATGTCCACTTGTTGCTGATGGTTGTGGTAGAGGAGCTGTAGATTTTTGCACTAATATCTGTAGCATGGTCAGTAGCAGTAGCACTAGCAGTAGCTACTGACAGGAGGAAGTGTGTGTGGCGATTGCTGGTATTCAGCGGGATATAGTAATTTCCTCAGCATGTAAATATATGGATAAATGCAACGGGGAAGTTAACTGAAAAAAACCGAATCTGTGGATATTGCATCGACCGACCAAGAAGCACGTCTCCGTGGAGAGGACGCGCTCAGAAAGAGAGATATTCTCTACAAACACCGGGTGAGATCGCTCCTCTGGGACACGCCGGTCCTCGTGAACAATAATGGCCTGGATTAGGCAGTAAAGACAATTTTGGTGTATCGCAGAGCGGACTGTTTAATTTTGTTTGTGTTGTTTGGCTGGAAAATTGTCAATATAATGGATCAATGCATGAAATCTGACTGTTTATTTTGTTTAAGGAGTATATTGGGCGTTAACAATTCTGGTTTGCCTTTTATAATATTATTTCATTCAAGAACCCCTTGTGCGTTTAATTAACACAGCTATTTTTGATAGTTGATAGTTACAGATGGCTACTGGCCATGCTACAGTGAGCAGGAGAGGTGGGGAGAGGCGGGGAGAGGTGGGGCTATCGTTATTTTTTCAGGAAATATTCGTATAGAGATGATTACACAGACTCGGTTGACCCCCCAGAGCGTTTCGTTTGCAAATCTATCCACCTTGGGACCCGTTATCGTTTGTGGGGTCCGTTTCTATCGGCCTCGTGTAAATAATAGGGCTATACGCACGCGAAACTATGCAGATACAAGCAGTTTTGTCCTCGTGTAAACGGCGCCTAAGTGTAAAAAGAATCCAAAACTGAAGAAAACTCTTGATGAACTTAAGCCACATAAAAAATAATAATGTTTGAATAATTCATTTCCTGTGCAGGTAAAGGAGAAAGACAAGTTTTTTTTGTCAGAATTCAAGGTAACGCAAGGTGAGTAATTGATATGCAATGGGTCATATTAGGTTTCAACTATTTTTATGTCTCAGTATAAGTTAGAGATGGGTTATGCAAGGATACTTTCAGCTGGTTATTTCCTGGGGATATCGGGAAGTTTATCCATTTTTAAGTGCCAGTATAGAGTTGTACCCTCACAGGTGTGATATGGCAGTTAAAGTGGAAAATACATCCAAAAGCCATATGTCTCTCTGAATTATGACTGTGGGGTGTAAACAGATCTAGTCAAAGTCTGTGTCCGAGCCATCCTCCATTATCCTCTACAGCTCCATTCCCAGACACACCCTTCTACTGGCACACACAGAGGAAGAGAGGGGGAAGAGCCACATGCACATGTATATAAACTCTCAACTTACATTCACAATCCATTATCATATCAGTCTTTTTACACTTTTTGTTGTGTAAAGGTGTGCTTGAAATGTACTTCCAGAGTCGGAAAAAAAATAAACCTCTCTCCACATTTGTGAATTGAGCTCTACAGGTTGCCTAAGTCTGGTTCAACAAGTTTTTAAGTGTTGAAAATGTAAAAAAGTTATGTTCAGCTACACTGTGTCACATGTTTGTGCCAACACAATAAATGTGCGCACATCCGAACACACCCAATTCTCCAGTCAAATGTGTATGCAAATATGATATACACACACACACACACACTAAAATGAAACCCCATGATGCAAATATATATCATTGAAAAAATAAGGCATGGATAAACGTGCAACAGGTAGGGGATGTCCAACTCCAAAATGCTGACTCATACTTTTCCCATTATGCTTTTCTTTCATTAGAAGCTATCAAGTTGCCTACTAAATTTGCAACAAAAGCTTTTATTATCTACAAATACTATGCCTCAAGACAGCTAACAACCCCCCCCCCCCCGATGACATCACTATGACATCACAAGGGTCGTTTTCGGAAGTGTTTCCCCTCCATTGAAAGATTAGACACTCAAAAGTAGGAAAACTCAACTTTTATCAGTGGAGTACCCCTTTAAGATTCCACCATTTGAAACATTGAGTGCTACTGCTTAATTTCTCTTCCTTTCACCATGTTTTCTCACCTGGGTGATGAGCACTTTAAAGTGGTTCCTCCTCAGCAGGTGGCTGTGGTTGGCCTCCAACTTCTTCACCTGCACCGCCTGTTTGTCCATGCGCTCCCTCACATCCTTCAGGTGCCCGCTCACTTTGCGCGAGCGCTCGAGCAGCTTGCTGACGCTGTTGGAGGTGTTCAGGTGGGTCTTGGAGAGGCGGGTCACGTCGCCCTGCACGACCCGCACGGCGCCCTCCAGGTCGGCCTGCCGCTGCTCCATGCGCTGCTGGTTCTCCTGCACCGCCTCCAGCATGTTCACAAGCTTGTCGAGCAGCGCCACCACTGTGATAGCACTCACCTGGCCGCCGGCTACGGGGCTGCCCGGCACGGCCGCGGTGGGACTGGTGGGCATTTTGAAGCCCAGCCGGGAGAGAGTCCCGGTCGGGGAGGACGGGGAAGAAGATAGGCTATGGCTCGGGATGAGGATCTCCATGTTTTCGGGCTGCTGCTGCGGGATGGTGTGTGTGCTGCCGGTGACGCTGCTGCCCTCGACGTGGGACCCGTTTTCTGCCATGGTTCACAGGTGGTCAAATGTCCCGCTTTACAGGGGTAATTCACCTAAGAGTTTAGCAGGAGTTTGACTCTCTTAGTGCTGCTGTCACTTGCCCCAGCTGAGAACTGGAGGCTGGGTGTTTTACTTCTTGGAGTTAATTCGACTTCCACGCCCCTTTCTATCTTTCTCGACACACACACACACACACACACACACACACACACACACACACACACACACACACACACACACACACACACACACACCACACACACACACACACCACACACACACACACACACACACACACACACACACACACACACACACACACACACACACACACACACACACACACACACACACACACACACACACACACACACACGCTGTGAACTTTCGAAACACCTCCCCTGCAAACCAAGGGAGGGGCATGGTTGCTATGGGAACCGTGCAGGCCAAGCCCTATTGACAGAAAAAAGGTAGAGTTGGTGTGTGTCCTTCCTTGTATGCTGCTAGCTTGCTTTGTTTTTTCATGTGGCTGCCAACAATTCCACTTTGTGCAAGCCTCGCTGCATTTGCAAAATATGCGTGAAGGTTACTTTTGTTTACTGCACTCACTGGTGTGCTGTTGTAGCCTACTGTAGCCTACCAAATTGGACAGGATTGCATTGTATCAAAGGGCATTGGCGTGTGTGTGGGACCCACAAAAACAATAACGTGAAGATAAAAGTACAATGCAAATCAGAAAGGCAGTGTTTCTACAGCTGCGTGTTTCCACTCACATGCTGTAGATAAATCCTGGAACATATTGTCTTTATTTCAAAGTCTATATGTCCATGGATGTGTTACAGATTGGGTTTACTGTGCATAGGCTCAGGGGCCCAAAGTGTCAGGATGCTCCTGGCCTTCACTTGCAGAAATGCCACTCAAAGAGACATGTACCAAACAGGAAGAGACTTAAAATAACCACAAAGAAATATAACAACTACAAAGACATACAAAAGACTACAACAGTTCCAAAATGACTACAACACTACACTTTTGCATGTCTGTGGCCAGGGGGACATTGTCTCCTTATGCGCCCATGACTTTTCCTATGCTTACTGTATATGTTAGTGTATTGTTGGGTGTGTGTGCCCTATGATCGCCCCTTTCCTCTCCCCTCTTGTTTTCAAGCTCTGTGACATGGAATGGAACACACTGACATGGAAATGTGGAAATCCCTGTTTCAACAATGAGCTCATCCGTGCCCTGGCATGATGCCCTGCATGGCCTCTCTCTCAATCCTTCTCTTTGTCACTATCACTGTAGATATTTAATTCACAGTAACACAGCCGCTCTTTCAATTCAACTTGTTTTGAAATCAAATAAATATGTGGTATGTGTCAGTGTGTTGCAACAAGTGTTGGTGTCTGTGCGTTTTCATAAAGGGAGGGAAGAGTGTGTGCTTAGGTGTGGAAACCTACTGCATTATAACTATGACAAGGATCTATTTGATCACTGCAGACTATGGGAGGAATCCAAGCCCACACCTGAGTTTGATTGGATCCTGTGATAAAGCAGAGGCTTAGCTATCATCAAACCTAAGATCAATACAGAGTATTTACACCCTTGGACTGCGATTAGATTTTCTGCTACAGCTTGTATTTACACACTGTAAAGACACACCTAAGAACTGTGTTCAACTATTTTGGCAAAGTCCAAGTCCTCAGATTGAAACCACAATAAAAAAAAGCATTTACTTTTAAAATTGCCTTATTTCAGTGTTACTAATTTCAATGAGTTTTGAAGAAAAAATATTTGGGAAATGCATTTATTTGATTTCGTGCTGAAAGGTTAGCACAAAGGGAAAACAAGGGACGACCTCTGTGTCCTAAAAATGAAGCCAATGTAGAAGTTCCCTAAACTATAGAAGTCTATGAGAAAGTGACCCTCCTTTTCACTATAACCTCAGTAAACATATTCCTGACGAGATTATGGTCAAAATAGCTGGTTTCATGTTTTCTTCAATACAGCATTATCAGTTCGCAAATTAAGGTCTCATTTACAGTCAAATGTATGATTGGAAAGTTGCTACAACATACAAAAGACACTCTAGGAAGTGGCCTGTTATTCTTTTGATATGTACATCCAAATGAATATCGAATTTGACATGATGAATTACAGATTAACATTACTAACCGAGCTAGCTAGCGTGGATGTTAGCTAAAAAGGTAGGTTAGTTTGGTTGTTTTTTATGCTAACAGTACCTGGGTTTGCTGTGCCTTACTTTTCGCAGGCTCCACCCTTTCGCCACTTCCGGTTTTGAATACGGCCAAAATGCCAAACTTAATACCAATGGCGTGACGTGAATAAGCAAGGCTAGCTAGTTGTTGTGCTAAGCTAATCGACTGTCAGTAGCTTTATATTTTACAGACAGATGAGTGATATCAATTTTCTTCCCTAACTCTTCATAAGCTAAAAAAGTTATTTTTCAAACTATTCCTTCAAAAGGAAACTAGTAGGCCTACCTTTATTTAAATATAAGCCATCATTTTTCTCTTATAACCAAATGTTCTTAAAAGCTACACATATTAATATTATATATAGTCAGAAGTGCTCTTGACAGATTCTCCCATGCCAATATCCAGGACTAACACCTCTTCTGGAGGTTACTCGGTCGACAAGCTTCAAAGCTGTCGGAGTAGAGTGGAAGTGCTAGACACACACTCGCCTGAACACATTTCCTTCCTCAAAACTCAAACCCCAGTGTCTCTGACCCCGTGCTCTGCCGTTGCTTCTCCTTGGAGGCACACACTTTTGTCAACATAAAAGTGTGACCTTCCATTCCTAGCGCTCTAACTCTTGACTTTTCCCACTTTCACCCCTTGGATAGAACGGAGGGAATGACGCTCCCATCCTGTAATTCTTCCAGCTGTCCCCCTCCTTTCCTTCCCTCTGCTCCCCCCTTTTCTCCATCACTCCCTCTACCCTTTTTCCTCTTCTCTCATATCTTCTGCTTTCCTGAATTCCTCCAGTGTTCCCAACCGTCTGGTATGTTTCACACGTTCCCAGTGTTGTGTCAAGGAATGCTGTGCCTATTTTACAACAACACTTACTATTTATTTAAGGGTCCTTTTTGCTATCAATCCTCCTTCAGTTACATATAGAATGCAATAATGTCATACACACATGCTGTCAATGGGTTAAATAAGAGATAGTTGATTGAGATCTTAACGAGTTGGCAAATTTGCCCTCTGGAGGCCTAGAAATGTAATGTAATTCTAAAAATTAAGTTATTGATAGACCTTTTAAATCAGAGCCATTACAGTCATTAACAGTTTCAATCATAATTCATATATTTTTTTTATTGTTCTCAAGGTGTTCATGATTGACTGATTTCTTATTTTGCCAAAGAACGTAGTCATGCTCAAATGTTCACAAAACTACAAAGGAGTTCAGCTCTGCAGGAGGAACAATTTTATAATTTCAGCAAACATGCCGCTGCAGGTCACATCATCAAATGAATGAGCTTTGTTTGCTGGGAACCTTCCTGGAGTTGCTCTAAACCCTTCAACAGGAGGTGTGGCATCACTTTAACCGTTGGCTGTTGGCATACTACCAGGGCAGATGACTGTTCTGTTTGAACATTCAAATCAATCTTGTCCGGTGGGATTATTGGTAAGCAACTTTCACAAAAGTAAGTATGGTCTTTTTTCTTTCCTGAAAGTACTAGTTTTGACCTGAAGCACCAACTCACAATGTGTTTTACAAGCAAAATGGAGGAGATCAAATGGGATTAGATTACATTTCTAATACACATATTTAATCACCTGCACTGAGTAGTTTCCTCAATTGTTCCCTTTCTTTGTTCACCTTTACATGTTCTACAGTCCTTTTCATTGCTGACTGCATGCATTGACTTAAGAAGATGATCAGAGTCGCTGTCGCCCTCTGGGTTGCTCCAGGCCACATGCTTATCTAAGAGCCTGCTTAGTATGGATACAAGAATGTAACGGAAACACCTTCGAGGCAAACTTCACGAGGACCTTTATTTATGACGGATCCCACATAGACAGTTGGTTTGATAACATATGTTTGTTTTCTGCTTGTGAAATGAGCAATGTACTGAGACAATGTAGGTCCTTGAGTACAACCAGAGTATGACTATAGCATATTGTGTGTTATTCCGGTGTTTCAATGGCCAATATTAACATCAGTCCAATGGACAACAAATGAAAAGTGTAAAAGTATGTGTCACCTCCATTTGCAAGGTCCTGCCAAAAGACCTTAGGTAGCAATGCAGATCAACACAATGGTTAGACATTTTTGGAATTGTTTTAGTTTTTTAAACTGGTAGCCAAAGAATGCAGGATAACCATTAACAGCCTCGGACTACAGCACAATGCAGAGTTATTCATCACTTTTCTATGGCACTTGAGCTCCAGTCTTCACAGGAGAAATACAGAAATGGGAAAACAGATTTGATAAAAATATTTATTTTAAAGTAATTTAAGGTGAAAATCTCATGGGGATGATTCAATGACTTGCAAAAAGCTGACGTTGGAACAGTGATCCAATGATGGGACTGGAGGATTAGTCTAGACAATATGTTGCTATCTGAAGCATTCAGGTTTTAGTTCAAGTAGTATTGACCAATCATGTTTAAGTAAGGAGTTGCAAGATAAAAGCATGGATAACATTACTAGGTATGCAAAGGTTCACATGCTGGTTTATTAGGTCAAGGCAATTCAATACTTTAGATTTATATATTTGAAGGATAGACTGTCATTTGAAAATCAAGGTTATTTTACCACAATAATGGCCTAAGGATGCACACAGATTTCTCCCTCCATTTTTTTCAACAAAGGCTGTTCTACATGCTCATGCACCTGCTTCCTCACAGTAATAAGCTTTGCTCATTCCAGGTAATGTGATATTTGCAACAAAAAGCTTCCCTGATCAGTGTTTGAATGGGACCTGTAATTCTTGTGATTACTGTACCAACAACAGTACCACACAGGTGGTCATACCTATGATGATACGATGGATGCCCGGCAGTGTTTGATTTGTATAACCAGGTCAGACTAGGTGTCTGGTCTCACAGTGGGAAAAGGGGGAGAAATGGTACCCTTTTGTCGCTAAATCAAAGGCCCCCA